GAAGGGATGTTGTCCTCGTATGGCTACACCCTGGTTCCCGAGCCAGAGCGGGACACCGCGGCGCTTTGGCTCTTAAACAGCTGCACGGTGAAAAATCCTTCCCAGCAGGGGGTTACCAACCTGATTGCCAAGGCCCAGGCGCAGGGAAAGGCGGTGGTCGTGGCCGGATGTGTCCCTCAGGGCGACAGGAACTTGGCTGCTTTGGAGGGATGCAGCTTGGTCGGAATTGCGCAGATCGAGCGGGTCGTAGAGGTGGTTGAGCAAAGTTTGGCCGGTCACGTGGTCCGGCTCCTGAGCAAGGCCACTTTGCCCCGCTTGGACCTTCCCAAGGTGCGGAAAAACCCTTCCGTGGAGATCATCCCTTTGTCCACGGGCTGCCTGGGCGCCTGTACCTACTGCAAGACTCGGCATGCCCGGGGAAAGTTGGGAAGCTATGCCTTGGAGGCAATTTGGGAGAGGGCAAGCCAGGTGTTGGAGGAGGGGGAGGGGGTTACAGAGATTTGGCTGTCGAGCGAGGACACAGGGGCCTACGGGCGGGATCTGGAGGGGGCGGGCGGGAAAGAGTCCACCATGCTGCCAAGGCTCTTGACCGGCTTGACGGACATGCTCCCTCCCGACGTGATGCTTCGGGTAGGGATGACGAACCCGCCCTTCATTTTGGACCAGTTGGAAAGCATTGCCACCTGTCTCCGCCACCCCAACGTCTTCGAGTTTTTGCACGTCCCCGTTCAATCCGGCTCGAATCGAGTCCTGACCGCCATGAACCGCGAGTATACCGTAGAGGAATTCTGTATGGTCGTGGACACCCTGCGGAGGCTGGTGCCGGGCATGACCGTCGCCACCGACATCATCTGTGGCTTCCCGGGGGAAACCGAGGAGGATTTCCAGGAGACCTTAGCCTTAGTCGACAAGTACAAGTTTGCCATCTGTAATATATCTCAGGTGTGTTCTGCCAGAGGCCGAACCGGGGCCGGAGGATTCAGGAGGGAGAGTTTGTTTCCATTCCCGCAACGCACCCCTCGCCCACCTTCTTACCCTCCTTCCCATCCTCCCTCCCGCCCTCCTTCCCATTCTCCCTCTAGTTCTACCCACGCCCCGGCACACCCGCCGCGAAGATGCCCAAAGTGCCCTCCCAACAAGTGAAAGATCGCTCCCGGCGTCTGACCCGCCTCTTTGAATCTTTCAATCCGTACGCGGGCATGGAAGACACGTCCGGCCCGGTGACGGTCTGGTTCAACCGGGAACGGAGCGCGGACGGCCAGCACGCCGTGGGGCACACCAAGGCGTACGTGAAGGTCCTGGTCCCGTGGGAGGAAGGGAGGGAAGGTGTGGTCGGACAGGTGAAAATTGTGGGGGTGGCCCGCTGGCACGTGTGGGGGGAGATGCTGAGCTGGAAAAAGATTCGGGAACCCAGGAGGAGGGAGGGAGAAACGAAGAGCGGGGAAGTCGTGGTTCGGGAAAGGAAGGGCGGGTACCCAACGAGGGGAAGGAAGGAAAGAAGGGAAAGGAGGGGGGAGGGGGCAGGCGTATCGGTGGCGGGAAAGGCCAGGCCGGCAACCCGAGTCGAGGGGGCCAAGGCTGGGACCGCGGCGTGGTGGTGGCGGTGGTTCCCACGGTTATACCCAGGCGTCGGCTCGGGGAATCAGACATATGGTACGGAGGGCAGTTATACCCATAGAGACTCGCAGCAAGGTAACGCGGTCGTGGAAGGAAACAGGGGGTCGGAGGGGGAAATTGTGGTCAAGAGGGAGAGCGCCGAGAGGAGGAAGTACAGTGGAGGCATTAATAATCAGATCGATCAGGCAGCTGCCATTCTCCCGGCCTCCGTGCCTTCGTCTAGCACAGAAAAGGCGACAGTGGCCACTGCGACGTCCTCCGACCCCCCACTGGGACACGAAGGAGCACAAGGGGGAGAGGCCATGACGGCGGTGCGCCTGTCAGTTGCCTCCTCGCGCCTTCCAGACAAGGAAAGACCGGAAGGAGATCCCTCTTTCTCCGCCTCTGCCTCCTCCTCTTCCTCTTCCACCTCCTCCTCCATCGTCGCAGCCGCCACCTCCTCCTCCCTCCCTTCCCTTTTTCCCCACGCCTCCCACCCTACAGATGGCGCCTGCCTACCTTCTTCTCTCCCTGTGCCCCACCGCAGAAGTGGAGACATTTCTCCGGCCGCAGTGTCGACTGCGCAGGGAGCGAGTGAAGGAGGGGTGAGGCGTCGCGAGCAGGCGGGGCATTCCTCGGCTGTCTCCAGGCCGCATCCACACGCCCGACAGCCTTCACAACAGGCCTCCGGCAAGAGATCCAATGTACCGGAGGAAAGTGGGAAGGCGGAAGTTTCGGGCGAGTCCCTCTCCGCGAATACCTCATCGACTTTGTCGGGAGGGAGTACCTCGTTCTTCTCTCACTTCTTCCTGGGAGGCTCTTCCGCCCGACTTGCCCCCGTGTCCTCCATGCTCTGGTTAACAGCCAAGACTGAGGTCACCTCCGTATCTTTTTGGGCTCTATTGGCGTTGCTATGCCTGATAAGCTCGTGGCTGGCTCAGTTGAATGGTGTTTTGGACTAGGGTTTTGGTAACAGCTGGAACAATTGCCATTGTCGATTAAGTACTGACTGAAAGGAGGAGAAGCAAGGAAACATTAAACTTCCATCGTGCCAAGGCGGGTTTTCAATTCGCTTCGTGGGGCCTTTCCCCGCATTTCGTGGCCAGTTGCCTTGCAATATCATTCGACACGCGTCACGCGTGACAAGGTCGTTGTCATGGTAAAGCAAAGATTGTTCTGAGAGGTGTACTCCCAGTCCCGCGAGGGAGGTCGGGGCCTTGTGACACAATCGACACAGTAATCACGCACACCGTGACATGGCAATGGAGATTTAAAAGAGGTCATTCTTTGTATAAAACAAGCAGTTAAGGTTCTTCTTTCCTAGGTTTTCGTGCGTATTTTACCCATGAATCGTATGCGCGACAGCGGTAAGCAACCGTAGACCCGTGCTGTTCCATTTGCTGGCTCTAAACGACGGAAGGCAATAAACTACACCCTCACATAAACCCCAACCCCTGACAAAAAGGCCTCCATCGACATGTCTGCACCCGAGGACGCCGTGGCTGTCGGCACCGCGGGCGGGGCGACCGCCCTATCCCCCCACCAATCTACGGACGGGAATGGCTGCGACGTCACGCCGAAGGTTGCATCTCAAGCCCTGACAACCTCGGGCGAAAATCTTAACTTGTTCTTGATGGCGTGGTGAGCGCGCGGTCCGGCGGGCCGCGCGCTCGCGTGCCTCGCGTCGGCACGGAATGACATCCTTTGAAAGGCTAGTGGGGTCGAAGAAGACGTGGACGAGGTCGAAGCGGTGTATTTGGTGGCTTTCATGTCTGACTATCTCAGGCTGTGAGGCCAAGCGCCTTCCGTCGGGTGACTGCGAATGCAACCCGGGCACCTGGAAAGAGCGATGAGGAGGAAATGGAACAAAAATAAACGTGTGACCACGTCGTATCTTGCTTTGTGCCTCATCTTCATCTACGACTAACAGATTTTGTTTGAATTTCTGAATATATGCTACCATACTAGGGCTGTGGTGGAAGGGAGAGGGCTGGTATTTTCGACCACATTCACTAAGGACAGCTAGGGGCAGCACGCCGCACTGGCTAATTATTGCGACCGTCGACCACCTAAGAGTGCGATTCAATTCTTCGACAGGTTGTCGAAGTCTTGCAAAGCTCTTTTTAAGGTCTGAGTGGTCGCAAAAAGGCCAGACTTTCTCCGAGTTTGACTTGACAGGAACCCCAAGACGACCAAGGAGAGAAAATGAATCAATTCACGGCACCACACCTACAGCACACCCATGCACCCTACATAAAGGGGAAAAAAGACGGGAAAGGGCACAAAAACCCTCCACTTGACCTTAACTCCTACCCCGCAGAGGATGGACTGAAGCAGGAGCCCTCGGGTGCGGCGAACCTGATGCCGTGGGCAACACTGAAAGATGAGTCCATGCTGGACGACGGGTTCATTGGAGGAATCATGGCGGGAGGACTCCTAGAGAGCGGGAAAGGAGAGGGGGGAGCTGACAGGGGAGACGGAGGAGGAGAGGGAGAGGGGGGGACACCGGCCTTTCTTCAGGGGCCTCCCAGCCCGGCAGAGATGATGATGCGCGGCGCTGGCGTGGGAAATTTGGGGATGACGTCGGAGGGGCACTTACGGTACCCGTCGTTCCAGGCCCTGTCGGTCGGGGCGACAGGGGGGCAGGATGGGGAACCGGGGGCACTGGAAAGGGGCCGCGTGCCGCACGCAGAACTGACCCTCCAAGACCCTGTGTTTCTGGAATCTTGGGGGGAAGAAGGGAAAGGAAAGCTGAAGGGGCAAGGGAATGGAGCGGTGGAGAAACAGGAGCGGGGCAAGGCGAAGAGGAGGCGGCCAGAGTTGAACCCGTCCGACCCCATGCCCGGGGCCGGGGGCGGGCAGGGGGAGGTGGAGTCATGGGTGGGGACGACGCAGGTGCCGGTCGGGGAGAGGAAAGCCGTGAAAGGGCAGGGAGGTGGGGGCAATCTGTTTCGCGCGCAGGAGAAGGAGTTGAGGGAGGCGGCGGCGCTGGAAGTGGCGGAGACACGGGCTCGGGAGCAACGTGCTGCCCGGAGTCGGGCGGGCTCGGAGGGCAACAGCGTGGACGGTCGGAGTTGGGGTGGCTTGAGCACGCTGAGTGCCGGAGGGGGTGACAATGGGCACAAGGGAGCCGGTGGGGGAATCACGGGGGAAGGGAGCTTCGCCTCCTCGCATGGCATGTTGTCAGGCGATGGGGGGGAATGGGGGGAGCAGGGAGAGACTTGGATTGAGGGAGGGAAGGAAGGGCGGGGCACCAGCTCGAGTGAAGGACTGGGCGGGTCCTCGCGGCGGGGAGGGGAAGGAGGGGAGAAAGAGGGGGGGAGGGACGGGAAAGGGGGCCGGAAACGCAATTTGACGGCGGAGGAGAAAGTAGCTCAGTCTCGGCATCGGAATCGGGAGCACGCCCGCAACACCCGGCTGCGGAAAAAGGCTTACACGAAGAAATTGAAGGAGCTGGTGGACGACTTGGAACGGCAGCGGGAGGAGGAAGACAGGGCCAAGGACGTGCTGGCCTCCCGGGCCTTGGAGGAGGTTCACCACCGAAACACCGTCGTCCACTCCTTCCTACACTGCCGAGCCCGGGACGAACGCGACCGAAGGAAATGGGCCCAGGTCCTGGACGAGGACTGCGTGCTCACGCTGCCAATCACCCCCTACCGTTTTTTCCCCCGGGGGGAGGTGCACAAGGGGGTACGCGTCGTCCAAGGCCTGGATGCCGTCATGGCGGACGCATCCTCCCTCCGGCTCCTGATGGAGGCGGTCGAATGGTCCGCCTTGGAAAGAGCCCACTCTCCGTCGTCCGCCCCGCCCTCCTTCATGTCCTCCCTCAACGCGTCGTCGCCCTCCGGATGGAAGATCGGCGCCGGCGTCGAGGGGGACGCCGCGGATCGAGACATCAAGGAGGAGCACGGGGCCCGCGCGGGGTTCCCGCCTGTGCGCCTGGAATACGTGGTGAATGCCCAAGATATTATCATGTCCAAGGATACGCTCATGTGCCGGTGGACGTTGCGGACGAGCCGATCCCGGTTGTCCTTTCCATCTGCCCATGTGTCGTCCCGCCCACCCTCGTCGAGACCCGACCAACCCCCAGCGTCATCCATGCAGCAGCGTCACTCCCCCTCGTCCTACTCCTCCTCCTCCTGTTCTCCCCCCTCCCCTGTGGCTCCATTAGTTCAGAAGGAGAGAACCGGTCCCGGTGCCCCCTCCCCTCAAGCCGGCAAAGGATCTTCAGGTGCCCACGGAGAGGGGGAGGAAGCGGGAAACACCAGTACCCTGCCCGTGGATTGTTCGAACAGTGCCGACAAATATATGGGCACTCCATTGCAGCAGGGGCCAGGGAAACACGGGCGGGCCATTCAGGGTGTGTCGGGAAGCAAGAGGGCATCGCAGCAGCGAGACAGTGACGTTCTTGACAAGCTGGAATTCGGCGTGGAAGGGATGCTCTACTGTCGTTTCAACGAGCAGGACAAGCTGACAAGTGTGGAGATGGTCTTTGATGTGATGATGGTCATGCAGCAATTACAACGCGCCGCTGGTGTCCCTTGTGAGTACTTGATAGTCCCCAACTCCCTAGAAGGCGCCTGCCAACGCGCGGCCACGGCGCGGGTGCTGGTCAGAGCAGAGGCACCCTATCCCGTGCTGCACGTGAACGAGCACTGGACAAACCTTCGGGGCCAGACCCAAGTGGACGTGGAAGGTCAACCTTTGGACCTTCTAGAAGGCGCCAGCGAGGCGCCGGGTACACGGTTCATGGTGGACGAGGTGATGGGCGGCCGACCAGCGAGCTGCATCATGCTGGTCTTTAAGGCCTGTCGTCAAGCCTTCACAGGGTACTTGCAACTCTTCCCCCTGCATGCCGCTCCTG